ATGGAAGATCAAGCTTTAGATGCCGCGGAATGTATCCTGGACGATGAAATAAGCTTCTTCACGGATATAGATGAACTGCAAGCTCATGGCATCAACGCCGCGGATATTAAGAAACTAAAATCTTCGGGAATTTGTACAGTTAGGGGAATACAGATGACCACCCGACGTAGACTTTGTATGATCAAGGGAATCTCCGAGGCAAAAGTAGACAAGATAAAGGAGGTGAGTTTAACATTTCATTAAAAAGAATTTTGAGAAAATGGCTTTATGTATTTAAGGTTTGTTCATCGGGCTAGAGGTAAATCAAGTGATTCATTTTTGTCAGATGTGTTTTAGTCTTTTTTTATGTTGTCAGGTTTTAAGAGTTATTTTTTTTCAAGAATGATGCATTTATGAAAATAATGCAGTCATACATTCACGCACATTTGCACATACCTGTGTTTTGGAATAGTGAAGCTTTCGTCGAAAGTGACAGAAAACAAATCAATTCGTCACATACATTAGGATAGATTGTTACACATGAAAAATCCTTTGGAACGAAGAAATTCATCAACATTATTAAACTTGTCGCTTCATTTACGTGTAGTTCCATAACAGTTTCAGTTATTATGATCAAATAGAGATCAAATTGTATCAGACATGCAATGGTCAGGGGCGTAGCCAGGTTCGAATGTTGCTAACTTTAGAACCTGGGAGCAGGAGCTCAAAAAGGTGTTGCACATAACTAATTTAAAAATCATTATACACATCCATTTTGCATTTAAAGTCAGAACCAAGGAATCTATAGTTACACGGTTGGTTATATGTCGATTTATGCACATAAATCTAAATCGTGATTTGAAATAGTTAATTATCTTGATTTCAAACATAGAATGAAAACACAATAGAGCAGTGTGAAATAAAATGTATGACCGAACTTTTACTTCACTGTAGTCCGCCTCAGCAGCCAACTTTCCTTCAAAGAGTTTCCGAAAATGTCGAAAAGGTTGAAAAAATGTTTCTAAGGGAAGCTGATGCCCCTTTAGCCGCCAAAGATAGTTGTACACACCGCTCCTTATTAGAATTGAATGAAAGAGTTACAACTCGCTGCCTTGCTGACTTTTTAAAAATCGGAGAAACGCTCTAGATATAGGGGGAAAACGTGTGCACTGTATCTTAACATCATAATACACACATGTATGATTTGTGTGCCGCGGGGAGTTTTTTCAACTATTTTGGCATGAGGAGTGGGCGAGGGTGGGATAAATGGTGCAGCTAAATGAAAGCTCCCTTTGGATGCAATGCTTTACAGCGAGTCGCGGCAACTGCGTGTCGTGGACGCTAGTTGCGGGAGCTAGCCATGGCAAAGCAGATTGCCTGGCAATTACCTGGTCGAGCAACTGCAGTGGCCTATGGGAGGCAACTGGTTGCCCCTGCCGGTGGCGGACATCAGTGTGCTCTTGCAAAAGATTTCATGCTCGGTTTGTAGAAAATTCACTAAGTGACTGACACGTAGTTCTCTGGTGTCATGCTTGTGATTTCCTAATATTCATGTGTTCCTTTTTTGAAGGTGATTGTTAAGGAAAGTAGTAACGATATTACCGATATGCATGAGGATTAAATAAATAATCATGTATTATATAATTTATGATAACAGGTTTATCTATACGGAACTACCTTATCAATCAACAATCAATACACTAAATCAAATAAACCGTCAAGATGTACTTCACTGACAGTTCTTATGCATAATTTCTAAATATAAGATACACCATCTCACAAGGTAATAACTTTGCATGACAGGTGGCAGCCAAACTATGCGGAGGTGATGGGTTCGTGACAGCGCTGGTCATGTGCGAGAAGCGAAGGCTGGTGTTCCGAGTGAGCACGGGATCTGCCGAACTGGATGCACTGCTCGGCGGCGGGATCGAGAGCATGGCCATAACGGAGGTGTTCGGGGAATTCCGGACGGGGAAGACGCAAATCTCCCACACTCTCTGCGTCACGGCACAGATTCCCAATGAAGCTGGGACGTACTCCGGAGGGAAGGTACGTTGATATTCGTTTACTGCGGTGTTATTTTGCTGACTTGTTATCAGATTTATAGGCGTGAAAAATAATTTCCATTGGGCAGCGGTTATATTCCAATTAAGAACTTTCATATAATCGTTATTGTATTGACGTTCATTATAATGATAGTAATGGTCATGGTGATAGTCAAATAGTAGGCACTTTACACTTAAGATGACAACTTAGTTATAAAAATCAAAGTGAAAACGGCAATGGTACTACTCAGTCATTACATGATCTGATATGATAGATTATTATGATATAATAATGGTGAGAACGTATGAACAGTACTCATATTCCAAAATGTATATCATCATGTTTGCAAATACAATTGAATTATAAACGAAATGAATTACGCAAATCAGATACTAAACGATACCATGCTCCATGCCAGTTCCTCTAAAGCGCTATCATTTCTGCAGGTCATCTTCATCGATACGGAGAATACCTTTCGGCCTGACCGACTGCGTCCCATTGCCGACCGCTACAACCTCGAACAAGACGCAGTGCTCGACAACGTCCTGTACACCAGAGCCTTCACCTCGGAGCACCAGCTAGAGATCCTGGACCACGTGGCCGCGCAGTTCCACGAAGAGCCTGGCATTTTCAAGCTGCTCATTGTCGACTCCGTTATGGCTCTCTTTCGGGTCGATTTCAGTGGACGCGGAGAGCTGGCTGACCGACAGCAGAAACTGGCGCAGTATATGTCACGACTGCAGAAGATTAGTGAGGAATACAACGTGTCTGTCTTCATCACTAATCAGATGACAGCAGATCCAGGGGCTGCGATGTCTTTCCAGGCGGACCCAAAGAAACCGATTGGCGGCCATATCCTAGCCCATGCCTCGACAACAAGGGTATGTCTGCGCAAGGGGCGCGGCGAAACTCGTATTGCAAAGATCTACGACAGCCCCGAATTGCCTGAGAACGAGTGCACCTTCGCTATCACGGCAGGAGGCATTGCCGATGCCAAGGAGTAACCATCTTCATATGCTGAAGTGTTTATTTGTTTCAGTTATTGCTTGTATACAGGTTTTACAATTCACTGTAATATGATTCAACTGAATTGAGAAAATTAATTTCAGGTCACTATGTTTTGCTTGTATTTTTTGTCACCAGTAATGTATGTGTTAAACCAGTTATTGCTTACAAATACCCATATTTTAGTTTCAAAAGTGGAGTTGTCTAGTTTAGATAATGAGATATCTTTATAGTTTTTGTAATAAGTCACTTGCTTGATTCAGGTCATGCAATCAATATTATGGATATCTGTGGTTGTACATCTTCATGGTGTATGAATAATCTTAGTATGCTGCTCATTGGGGCATGATTGCATACATCCCCTTACACATTATGCTAGCATTGTATTAATTTGATCACACCACTCTTCTCTGACGTTTCATAACATAGTGTATATGATTGTACGTGGAATTAAAGGATTATTTCAGATGATCGATGCACTACTTTTATTTCCAGTGAACGAAGACAATATCTTATAGTGAATAAACCTTGAAGTTATTTGGGACAAGTTGAACGGTGATCTCAGCCAGCCAAGACTCCGGCTGCATGTATAGCCTGATATAGAGCGAGCCAAGGTCACGGCACATAGTGGCAGACATACAATGAGACACGAACCCGGATGCTGGCTTGGTGTTTGATCTGATTGGTAGAGAATATTCTATACAAGGCCTATTAGTGAATATTTTGTGCTTCCCGTATGCGATAACATATGTCGATTTCACGCAATAACTGAATCTAGTGTAATGAAGTACTATAAATATTAATTCCTTCATTTTATTGTATTTATTAGACTTATTTTGTTACTAGGGTATTGTTTTGCTGATGCTCGTAGTACTCGGTATGTTACATCACCATCAATTTCTAAATCGCTAATTCGCATACCTGATGCACGGAACTAAACCAAAACTTGTTATATCACTAGGGTATAGATTTTATCTCGATTACAGAGTGAGATCAGCGCTTAACCAAAGCTGTTGCCTAGTGTCGCCCACCCAAGAAGTTACTAAGCCAGTTCTCACAAACGAGTTATAAAATGATGTGTGCGTCTAGGGTCTGGAGGTAATGCAAAGTCATCTTACGTAAGGTATAGCTTAACAAGAACGTCCTGGCGAATCGAACCCTCTGTCAAGGATAGTTAAAAAGCATCAATTGGGAATCTACATGCATCAGTGCGGACATTGATAATGTTGATTGTCCATTGCATTTTTGTTGTATGATTGTGTAATAGTTTTTCTTGAATATAAAATTGTAAAGTAATAATCAGGAAATAAAATTCAGTGCGAATGATTCAGCACGGTAAGTAAGTTTAACTGCGATAGCCCTTTCCAAGAGGCAGAATAATGTTTGTCATGCAAAAAGCAACAAAAAAATGGAGGAAATTTCATTCATGCTCGATGAAAATGGGCAAGGATGTACTTGCAATGTAAGAATTTAAGGACAAAATATAGTTATATGTAGAAAAAAGTATGCGTGTACAAAACCAATTTAAAATATTACACTGACCATAGCATCAACTCTAAGCCAGTCGGTAATGAAATATTAAAAAATATGCTGGCTCTGTAACATCATGCAAACTCTTAATACCCAATATTGTAAATACACCAAAGGCACATAGCATGGCAGTCAAGACTGGATGTTACATTTAATTCCAACACTCTTCCAGATGCTTTCTTTCCCTGAAACAAATAATATTTAACATGACAGTGAAGCACAAAACACAACTATTAACGAATATTAATTTAATGGAAATGGTTATACGACGGAAATTCAAAACTGAAATATGCATTTTTAAGGGTTTCATTAAGATTTATGGCCTACATGACCGGGTGCGATATGAAGTTACGAATTGTGAAAATGGATTGCTCCTCATTATTTATTGAGGTATGCGTCAGTAAGTAATAAGTTCAGATATGGTATGCCGAGTTACTTTTCACACGCAGAGAATGTCTTTGTACACGTTGGCACTGGGATCAGAATGTCAAGCCACAAATTATTGTGGAAAAGCAAATATTCCATGTCAGTTTAAATGTGGTTTCGGCGTGAATTAATAAAATTTACCTACGTTTATCGGTTTTCACTTCTAATGCGCAGGTAAGCAATGCCACCATGTACAGTGATTATTCTAAACACTAGTAGACAGGGCAGTCGCGTCTATTTCCATTAATAAGGAAAACCTGGAATATTTACACGTTACTCTTCCAGCACCAGGTGCATCAGACTTTGCAAAAACGTGGCATTGTAGAAAGCAGCAAGAACGACTGGTATGCGGGCCATTATGGCCTGACGAGTGCATGAATTATTCAGTGGTGGCTGTGGCATGCAGGGCCACCCGGGCAGGATGTATGTCTGGTGAAGGCGGAGTTTGTGGTTGCTGCTAATACTATACTGTGATATTGGGCATGGGCAGGGCAGTGTGGAGGCACATGGGGGACTGCGGCCCATTCATGCCATTCAGCCCACGTCCAGAAGTGTGCCCGCGGCATCACAGCCTTGAGGTTGTACGGAACGGCATCGCCATTGGCTGCCTCTGCTGTGACGTCGCTCCTGGTACACCTAATGAATGAAATTATGGCGAGGCTCGGTGGCTAGCCCGTCTGTAGCGCGACCGGACTGGGCATCGGGCAAACTCTCTACAGCGAGTCTCATTGTAATTATATCAAGATGTCTTATGTTTGTGTGTAGTGAATGCCCATTTGCCAAGATGAAATTGCCACTAAAATGGATTAAAAACAGAAAATACTAAGTACCAGGACGAAGGTAAGGGATATGAGCATGTTTCTACAGTTTGTAAAGACGAGTAGATGTGAGATTTATCAAGGTAAAGGGTGTTAGTCTGAGCAGGTATCCTCGGCAGGTACAGGTCACGAAGTAACAGGTGGTCTGGCCAAGGAGAGAAGTCGAATATAGGCAAGTGAAATGTCCAGGCAGATGTATAGAAATAGACTACCAAATGGGTAAATTTCTCGGGTGTAGTGACAGAAGGCGAGACTCGGGTCAGATACGGCCATGGGAGACTCGGGGAAAGGGTGGGGGGTGTCCATGATGGCCTGCCTGTCAGAGAAATGTGAAATGCATACTAATTTCAGGCATTCGCATGATACTTTGTAAAACATACACTAAATTTTATTGCATTAACCTTAATTTTAGGTCAGGAAAACTGTCTATGAACTCAGACAATAGATATGAAATCTAGCATTTTGAAGGCCACCAGACTCAGGCTTCCTGTCTGACTCATATACCTTGTTAGGTGCAAAAGGTGTTGTGGTGGACATGTGAAGGGAGGATTTCATTTTGGTTTTGGGTTGATTTTTCTATAGTATTGGTATGTGTTACAGGGAAATAAATTCTGGAATTATTGAAAAACAAAATTTGAAAGTACTACAACCCCTGGAATCCCTAAGGACTTTAGCCTAGGACCTTCACTATTTTGCAAATGATTATGAGGGTACGTAATGCATGTACTGTGTGTTCTTTCTTACAACTAGAGCTAGTTTTGCAGTGAGAATGACAGAAATGCATTTTTTTTTATGTGGTACACTTAGACAATAAAACTCCCAATATTACTCAAGAAGAGAATGTATAGATTAGAAAGG